ACCGCTGCTGGCACCGACCGGTCAGTCTGCAGCGACAGTTTCGCCTCGAACGCGGCGTCTCTCGCCGTCGACGACGTCCCTCCGACCGACAGTCCTGACGCGCGTGGACCAGAGCCCCGAGGCCGAGATCAGCGCCGGCTCTGTCAGGCGCGACTGTCGGCAGAGGCGGGCCGGCTCGATCAGGCCCTCGGAGACGCAGCATCCAGTCGACGAGGGGCTGTTGGAGGCGGCGATGCGGCGCGGCCCGCCAATCAAGTCCGGCCAGGCCATTCCTCGCGACCTCGCCGTCGCCTTGATTGCCTGTTTCCCCAAAGCCATCACCAATCACGACGTCGACTCGCCCACTAGCCCGGCCTTTGTCCGTCTGCCCGGTTCAGGCGAGTCGAGCAACGGCGAAGCAAGCCGGTCAACGTCGGCGCCGACGTTGGGAGTCGCCAACGGCGAGAGTCCCAGCTCTGACGGCGCCGGCGGCGCCAGTTGCAACCCTTCGCATCCGCGCCTCAACCAGTCAGTCGAGGCGGCCGCGGTGGCGGCTGTCTCCAACTGTCTGGCCCAGCGCCAGGACCGCGCTATGCTCTCGTGCCTGGCCGGAGCCCCGTTCACCTGGCGACGCTTGATTGAGTCCTCGGAGGCCTGGCGACACTTCTACCTCAGCTGCCTGACGCGAAGTCGATCCGGCGAAGCGGCTCTCGGTCAGGTCAACTGGGAGAACGTGATCACGCTTGTGTTGGCCCTTAAAATGGCGGAATACGACCTTCTTGAGGTACAGAATAGGATTTTCGAGGTGAGACAGATTCACTAGGTCTTCTGGTCGGATCTACCTTTGAATCTCTTCATTACACACTTTTATTCGAAGCGGAAATGATTAATGATCCCCCCGATTTTTCCAATAATGCCAGGATTAGGCTTCACGTTTGCATTGAGCCTCACTTAGCCCTTCTTCTCAAAAGGCATTCTTACCCCAACAGATTTTGGACCCTGTTAATGCAGCATATCGACTCGTTAGCCCTCGTTCAAGTCCCACTTGGGGTGCTGATGAGCCCCAGTTGAGGCCGAAATTGCAGTCCAATCCAGTCGAGATAAGAATATCCTTTGGGAGATGAAGCTGATGTGAAATTCAACGGAAGCACGAGGGCTACTCCTGCTATTGTGGGAAAATTTTTCTTCCATTCCGTTAATCAACATTTCTTATTTTTCATTTCGTCGGAAGAGGCAAGTTGAAGGAATTCGTAACTAGGCTTCCCCGAAACCCGAAACGCTCCTCAATTCACTCTTTCATCCTGACAGTCATCACCGGAGCAGGCCGGAGTGTTCACACTATTTCGTGAGTAGACCCGACGTCTCCATTGAATTCCACTTAGCCTTGCTTTCCTAAAAGTTGTTTTCATCCAGGATGGGCTGTAGTTTCGACCTCGCATAGGTCTTATCAACAGCCCCAGCGGGAGTCGAATTGTGACAGTATAGCATTTTAGCTTGACACGCTAACCATTCAGCCACATTGGCACGAGTGCCCTTGAGTTACAGGGCAGATTTGAATTATGAGGAATGTTGATGAAGCAAACTTATATTTGCTATAGCAATTGACGACATTATTACTATTTATTTACGAAAATAGTTGTCATTCCCTCTCATAAGAAGTAAAATTCTGCACAACATAATACAGCTACATATGAACTATAAAACTAAAAGCGACTAAAAACAAATCTGAGACTATATTATCTTGATGTTCATATTTACGCTATAATATGCTTATTCGTTTGCTCGTGTGTATGCCTCATATTAACGCATATGTATATGTGCATGTTTATTGTAACTCGACTTTTCATTAAGTTAGAAGAAGTTGGTTGAAGGAGCTTTGTGATTTGCCTTACTGCAAATCGAAGCAGGATCTTCTTGCAGGAAGTCCTTGGCTCAACATCCTTCTACTCTAATGGATCCATGCTAAGCTTTCGTCTGGCCTGCGTTGGAAGACATATTCAAAGAGAATAAGCATCATTTACAGTAAAACGCACCAAATACGCCAAGAATTGGGTGATCGGCTACAATTAACTTTTGATCTTAATAAGGCATCCGAAAATTTAGTTGATCAATCTTTGCTGATCGCATTAATATCACACATTTAGATTTAAGAAGTATAATTGCAACCGGCTCCCCATTTCTTAGCTTAA